GACAAAGTGTGTAACTAAACGACAAAACAATGCAGCAAACTGTTATGCCACAGCTTGTGGCGTGTATAGAATAACAAATTGATTTCTTTGTAAGCAACTCTTTGGGAATCGTGTAAATCGACAATGTGGGGAAGCAATAGAGCCAAAAGCGCTAGGAAGTGATGGAGGCACAAGAGCTGCCGCTATACTACTTATGTAATGCACTGTATGTATTGTGGTGTGGACTGAAGTGAAGTGAAGTGAAGTGAAATGGAAGAAGTCAAAGTCCACGCTTTGGGAGCCACACAGCGAATACTGATGGAGTCGCTACATTTGGCATAAATAAACAATTCAATTTGTAAGTTTCAACAAAAAATTTAAGAACAAGAATAAACTGTTTGTCGCAATATTTGTCATGGATGTAAAGGGGCGCGCAAAATAGGAGCTGGCAGTAATGACGAAAGCTATGAACAAACGAAGCCACCAAGACTAACGGGGTGATATGGAAAATCTATTGACTTTGTGACAAGCAGGGGAATATGGGGAAAAACTGGCGATTAGTAATTAAAAGTCAGAAATAGTGGAACGAAAAGATTGAAAGCAAAAAAGAAAGATTTTTATTTAAGAAAATGTCACGTGCATGAACAAAACAAAATTTTGTACAAAAAAAGAAAATGTTGTAATTTGTAATTTCATATTTTAAATTTCCTCATGTATCATTCTTAAAATGTCACTGTAGTACAACCTTTTTTAACACCTTTCGTCCGATACCAATACTGTGAACTATTACATTTTGGATAGCGACTCTAAATGGTTACTGTATTTATTTGAAAAAGTCAGCAATACTTATGTACTTCTAAGGCTCATTTCGTTGGCATGGAGTCGAAGCTAAACCGAAGAGCTGTCTCAATTCGGATAGTAGCCCAATTTTGTGTTTAATCCCGAGTGCATCTGTATCGGAGATTCATAAGGAGCAGAGATAGCATCGCAGATAGAATAGTCCACCTCTCGGTTAATCGGGGTAGCTAATACCAGTACTACGTAGACCCTTTCTGGCCTGAAGAGACTATGCTTGGAGACTCAAGTAATATGGAGAAGTTGCCACCTCCCGTGGACGCATAGCAACAAAGATTTGTAATGCTACGATTGACAGAGTTATTGTCAATAATTTGTAAGCGAAGCTACTATGATCGTGTAGACCAACGTTGCTAGGTTATATAGGTTATTTCAAATGGGACTCGGCTCAGGATATTACGTACGGGGCGAAGTATGTCACTCACAACTTCTTTTCAATGCGAAGACCTCCTCACCCTGCACCTGCATCCAGTCACATGCTCGGTTCACCACGTGGTACCATTCCGTTTGACAGGTACACCATATATCCACCCTTAAATTGTCCCCTACCCTTGCCTGTCCAATACCTTAACCCATTTAAATAGTTTTGCTGCCAACCGTGTTACATATATGGCCGGCGATCGTCTACCCTCCCTACAACCGTCGACAGTGGCACATAATTCTCGCCCCTTCACACCATATTCGCGACTTCATATCATCCCGTCTGTTGTTCGGCGTCCGCCCGCCGGTTCTTCCACATCCGGAATCAATAATCACCACTGATTTTTGATTAAAAATTCATTACAATCCTTTTATTTACACACTTAATATACTATTGGGTTGGATTTTTAACTAGTAATGACCGCGCAGTTGGTCTAATTTATTCAGTCAAGAAGAAATCCCTAAAATCTAAAGCTTAATCGTATTAAAAAAGAAATTCAACCAACAAAGCAGCTTTGTCACCAAATCTCATTTCATCTCGCCTAATTTTGAGGTCTCGACATAGTCACAAAATCTCTAGAGGCTGAAGGATGGGTTGATTATATCGGGCTAAGAGACATCTTACCTGGTTTCGCAGACGCTTATCAAACATTAAAAAATGACACACCCATTAATGCCGCCCGTTCTCCGCTTGTGCGCGGCGCTAAGAAGCCGCAGAAACAACTCATGTGATCTTACGACAAGTAATTATCTGCGCAGAGCTGTGAGACAAAAGCACAATTTATCAGGTAAGAAATTTGGGACTAAATTTCAGTGTTGTCGCTCCAAAACCTCCAGCTATTGTTCATTAAGGGCCGTTTTATCAGATAGGTCTTAAAATTTATCTACCCCTGTGCCACTAAGTTTGTTTTTGTGTATTCGAGCGGGTGCTACATCGTTATTCAGAGTGGCAAGTATCAAAGGATTAAGTAAAACAAGTAAGAAGGTCTAAGTTCGGGCGGAGCCGAACATTAAATACCCGGCGCAAGTATTAAAGATATGTTTTCCACCTTGCCGAAAGCTACCGCTACATGATAAGCCGGGGTGTATACATTTTAAGTAAATTAGCGTCCTTAAATTTCGACATATTGAAATTTCAAGCATTTCTGAAATTTATTGTTATATGAAAAGCGGCCGTAATTTAAGACCGATTTCAACAATTTTCAACGGTTTGCTTTTATGTGGCAAGCACAATAATCATACCGAGTTTGGTACAAATTGCTAGAACGGTTAGCGAGATACATATATGTAATCACAAGTGGGCGGTGCCACGCCCATTTTCCAAAATTTTATCATAAACGTATTTCTTGGTAAAGAATTGTTGCAACCATCAATTTTGAATAAATTAGCTTTGATATTTACTGATTTATCGAAGATTTTGTATTTCTCGAAATTACCGTTATATGGAATGTGGGCGTGGTTATTGTCCGATTTTAAAAAGTTTCGGCCATTTGGTATGCTGTACCAGGACCAACAACTGTGCCAAGTTTGGAAGAAATTTGTGCAGCGGTTACCAAGATATACACATGTAACCATAAGTGGGCGTGGCTACGCCCATTTGCCAAAATTTTAAAATATTCTTATTTTTCGTCTAAAACTCATTGTAAATATTAATTTTGAGTGAATAATCTTCAGTAGTTACTAAAATATCGCAGTTTTCGTATTTCTGAAAATTACCGTTATATGGGAGGTAGGCGTGGTTATTGTCCGATTTCGCCCATTTTCAATACCATCCGTCCTACGCCCAAAAGAAGTTCACGTACCAAGTTTCATTAAGATATCTCAATTTTTACTCGAGTTATCGTGTGCACAGACGGACGGACGGACGGACAGACAGTCACCGCTTAATCGATTTCTCTTTTCATTCTGATCATTTATGTATACATTTGTCTATATCTATCTCGATTCGTTTTGCCTGTTACAAACAACCGTTATGTGAACAAAGTTATAATACCCTTGTGCACAAGTGCGCTCGGGTATAAAAATTCAAAGGTCAGGTAAAGAGTGAAAACTAAATATACGTAATAAAAAATTATTCATAGGCAAATAAAATAAGACAACACAGAAAAAAAACACCAAACCAAAAAAAAAAAAATACAGTAATTTCTCTAAGCTGCCAAAAAATGCAAATTACATTTCTATAATACTATTATTCATTCACCTAAAAGCCGTTGGTAAGCTATAATTTTACAAATTATCTCGACACAAGTCGTTTTTTAAGGTGTGTGCTGCCAGCACTCATCTATCTTTTCCATCATTGTTCGCACTTACTCTAGCAGCAAATTTATGTAAGCGAAGCTTTAACTTCGACTTTGTTGGCTGTCTGTGGAAAATTAGTCGCGCATTGAAATGCTGAAAATTACAGATTAGAGATTTTCCAAGCGGAAAGTGTGGGCCGTTGTCGGCGTACAAAATTTTTAAAGGAGTGTTAAATTTTGAATTCTTTTTAATATTAGGTGGTTAATAGCAGGTTTTAGTTTAGTGGGTGTGTTAATTTAATGCGGAAGTTATTAGTAGATGGGACTAAGTGATTGCAGGGCTAGATGTGTAGATAGAATATTTGTCGGCGCTAAGTATAGTTTAGAAAAATTGTGGACGGCCTTTGGTTTTTGATTTGAACAAATTTTATAATTAATAACTTGAAATACATGATGATATATCTTAAGTCAATAAGAAGAAACAGGAGTGAATAATAGGGTGGTCAAAAGATGCATGTGAAGAAGAAAAGTCCCAATTTTAATGCCCCAAAAAATATAACCCTGTATGTATGCACGTAAGTTAAATATTAAAACCCTGTCTAGTCACATGTGCGTTACATAAAATGCCATATTTTTTTGTACTTTATGTTTAAGACAAGTGTCTCCGAGCTTGCGGCAAAAACCATTTTAACTTTCTGCATTGATTTGCTCTTTCCTTAACAACAAAAATCCTTGTTCATGGCGCTGGTTGCAAAATGCCTCCAGCACCAAAATATAATCTCAGCCAATCCTACAGTCTACAGTCTACCACATATCATTATCTTTGTCGTACAGCTTTACTTGCAAATAAAATTGATTTTTCATTTAAATGTTAAAATACAGCTGCTGTTTCTTATGGTAATTTTTTTTCTTGTTTGGCTGCATGAGGGGGAACAGCCAATATGTCATTTTGCAGTACTTTTTGCTCTGACACACAATGCCACTCGATCGATATTGATATGCTGCAGACGTACAAGTCTCAGCTGGCACGCCGATTTGCCTGTAAGCTGCTGTTATTGAAAAATACAATACACACTGACAGGCACTATGTCACGTTAAGGATGTTTTTTGTGTATGTAGTTGTCTCTACTCGGTACTCCACTTTTTGCTGCTTGCTCATATCCAATTGCCTCACTTTTGGCTTGTTTGCTTGGCGCCAAGTAGCTTACTATGCCCTTTTTTTTAAATATTGTGTGCCTGATGCCAGCTGGCGAAGCAAAAGCTACTTACTTCTAAGAATGTATATATGTAGTATGTGTGCATATAAGTATATTCTTCTTCCTTTCAGACTTCACCTAACTCAGCTGATTGATAAATGATTTGCCCATTAAAGTATGAGTCTCTTGACCAGGCAGCATTTTCTGAGCCATAAGCCAGCTCATGAAATTAATCATAATTTGCGCTAATTATTAAGTTAACTTATGTCATTGAATAAGTTTTAACGTAATTGTTCACAGATTTCGCACTTACCGTAAAGAGGCAGCTTGCCACACAGACAGCCGCCCAAGAGCCGACCCAATAACGCAGCACAGTGCGCTCTTTTTCAGGGAAAAACATGGCATGGCATGGCGCACCACAATCGCGTAATTCCTGTAAAAGAAGAAAAAACTTCGAATTAGAAAACAGAAATTAATGATCAATGAGTTACTTATATATATATAAAATAACAGACCTAGTTCTAGTAATAGGACCTATAACTTTAAGTGAGTGTTTCTTTTTTTTCAGTTAATAAAATTTGAAAGTGTTCGTCTTAGTCTGGTTTCCGGAGCTACATGGGACCTGTAGAAAACTTGGTTGAGTAAGACAGAACTTTCCAGATGGAAATTACTTGCCGGCAGGGATGGAAAATAATCATTATTATTTTAATTTTGACCAAAAAAATCAACAAGTTGCAATCGTCGTAAAACAATTTAAATTATACTCATGTAATTGTGTTCGTACGTCCTACTGGAGTTTACAATGATTTTTTATTTTTCGAGTTTAAACAATAAAGATTAAAATTAATAATTAATATTTGAGTTTTATTTTTTCGCTCAAAGGAAATTATTATTACTTGATTTTTATTTTTTTCGGTCACAAATATTGATTATTTTAGGATTTTTCTTTTTTCGCTCAAAGATAATAATTATTATTGAGTTCTATTTTTCACTTAAGAATAATGAACATTCAAAAAATTTAAAAGCTATACCAACGTGATTTCCGACGTATCATTTTCAGAGGTAGCGACACCCCCTTATAAAAGGAATAAGAACCAAACTTTTCAGGTCAAAATTTCAGTAGGTTGCGTCTGTATGGCCTTTTTTGATTTAAATAATTTTACTCATAATGATTACCATCCTTGTTTGCCGGACTTTTACTCCGATTTCAAGTACACTTTAGAATCCCTGAGCGTTTATGTCTACAAAAACGATGCAATGAAATTGTTTCCCTCCACAGACCCACCGTGGGCCGTTGGTAATGAGTTCCTTAAGAAATGTAAAGATTACTACCAATCCGCTTTGGGGCTGTCCGAGTGGTCGACTGCGGAAAAATAGAAAACTTAGTTTGCCGATGGCGAAACCGGCGCTTGAAAATCAGTCCGAAAATAATTAACTTGCATAAGAATATTCTGATCGTCCCTTTACATTCTCGGCTTATCGATAATGGTGTCCCTTACTTTTCTCTAGCGTTAGACTAGACTGCCGACGGGGGTCCAAACTTTCAAATTTTCTTAAGAAGAATTATCTAAGTCTATTGCTTAAAGTTAGCTAACTAAATAAGTCATTTAATTGACCGAAGAACGAGCGCCCTTCCCTTCTATTGAACCGCCAGGGCAGAGTTAATATTATTGTCCCCTTGTAGGGCAATTGGTAACCGTGTTTTTCGACGCACCTCCCGAAATGAGCTTAGAGTCAGCCCTTAACGTATTGGGAACCGTTTGGAAGCTTCTACCAACGTTAAAGATTGAATCAAAAAAATGTTGGGTGGGTACTGGAAACAGAAGACTCGGTCGCGGATTTAGAGTCACCTTTGTTCCCAAGAGGTGGTCGTGAAGATGCATTCGGAGTCGTCGATGTGGAACCTGAAGTTTAAAAATGGGGCTTATTTGCAACATGTATTTCGGATTAATTACAGTTAGATTGCAGGGACCCAGAGCTGATTTATCAAATAACACTGTCAACTGTTTCGTTGACCGCATAATACGGAGACTGATACTGTGTTCTAAGCAGGGTAGTGCTTACACGGATGAGCTACTGAGAAGAGTGTTGAACACCTGCGGATACTGGAGTTCGCTGCTTTTTACAAAAAGTATTATGCGAGGAAGCCATCGTAGATACACTTAGGGTGGTCTTCGTTGAGAATTTTTACGTACTAACGTATCAGTGTCTGGAGGGCAAGAATATATATAGTTGTTGGCCTTTTCACCTGCCTCCGCTGCTGAATAACGTCTTCCAATTACCTCACATGTCGTTTTGGTAGAAAAATCCGCACTACTTCGGTTTGGTATCCAGCCCATGAATGAATCTGTTGCCTTCGGCTGTGGAAGACCTCGCCACATAGTACCTCGAGCAGAGTGGGGAGAAGGTAATGGGTACGGTAACCTGCTGACAGCTCTTCGATCCTTTCCAGGAAGTCATGCAGGGCGTCGCCGACAGAGTGAAGTGCAATATCAACGATAGACTGCCTTCACTGCTTTTAAATTGCTTGTATGACCCCTCCATGGCGTCGGAGGGAGGGAGTTCCATGTATTGATGGTCGAGGTTGGGTAGAGCGGTGACATCACCTTACTAGCCTCCTCAGCGGTAAATTCCATGTCCCAAATTTTGAAAAGATTTTCCGTTCATTTGCGGCTTCTTTTCGTTCTAATATGGGTCCGTTTTGTGCAGCGCAGCTGAGTGACGGAGTTATCCTTCACGGGCATCTGGTGCTTCTTGCACCCCCCAATCAGGCTCTCCTTTTTTAGAAGATATATCCAGCTGACACAGTCGACAATCAGCGTGGTCCTGTTGTATTTTCGAGCAAACTTTCCAGGAGATTTTAAGCGCCATTGTTTCTCTACTCCTCTTTCATTCTTTAAATCAAATTTATCTTATCCAAATGTCAATTTAAAACATTTTTCTACAAATTATACTTCAAAGCCTGTTCCTAAGTTCTTTCTTAACTTCTGACTTTTCATGTTGCTTCTATCCCATTCCCTGGGGTCAAATAGTTACCTTAAAAGTTCATAAATTACAAAAATGATTTCACTCTTGCTGGCACTTGGAAGCATTTCATACTTGGACGTAAGATATGGCATCAACTGCGTGTAAATCAACTACCAAAGATTACATTCCCCACAGAAACCAATTTAAGCTACAGGTACCATTGCACATTCTATTTCCGTATACAAATCTTTAGAGCTGTTATGGAATTTAGCTACTTTTACATATTTTAATATGCCATAAAATAGATTTAATAACCAGCAAGTGAGGTGATTCGCCATCTCAAGCAGCACCAGAGGAAGTAAGCCAAATGCAAACGATGACTTGGTAAACTGGGAAGAGGTAAGTGGCAGTGGAAGGAAAAGCGGCTGACAGAAGATGAGCTCATTAAAAATTCAAAATTCATCGACAAGCAACTAGAAAATGGGACGTTGTTGCAGTAAAATACGTTGCTTTAAGCGACCGCCAGGTGAGCTGCGAGAAGGCAGTGGATTAGACCGCCAGTAAGAATGTAAGAATCGTTGCACAACCTACTCTCCTGGAGTGTGATTTAGAATGAAATTAAGCGTGGTTAAATATTAAAGATGGCAGTATGCCCCTAAAGAGCAGTAGGTGGAGTCGAGCTAAACTGAGCAAGCCAACAATACGCGCAAGATGTTTAGGTAAGACGCCCTAGCCGCAGGCGAACGAAGCAGTAGTAGAGAAGAATAAGGAGAGTAGAAGAAGGTGGGCAAGAGTAAATTATGGCAGCAGCAGTTAAAGGCCCAAAGGCGACATAGCTAAAGCAGCGCAAGCACGCATTTCCCAAAGCTGCACAGCTCAGCGCAGTTCAACAAAGTTAAGGAGCAATTCACGTGATTCGAGGGAAATATGTTTTCCATAAATATATATAACCGAAGCTGCAGGCACTACCAACCAACTCAACCGAGAGATGGTGAGTGAAATACATATTTTAGGTAAGTTTTGCGTATAGAAGAACTCTGCAATATTTATGTATGTATGTGGGGAGTATATTTTGTGTTGTCTTATCATTAACATCATTTGTGTTTTGCTTTTAACTATTTATTTATATTTCAGGGCGCACTGTTGCATGCAAACTCTTGGGAGACCAAAGGCGAATCGTTTTGTTAGAATCGTCGGGCGCGCGCTCGATATATAAAAGTGCGATTTTTTGCGTGGCATAATTTATTCGCCATTCAACTACAGCGTTTATCTGCCTGCTTATCAAGTGCCTTTGTTGTTGTTCAAGTGAGTGCGAATGTGTGAAGAATGAATGAAATAAAAAGAAAAAAAATAATAGAAATACAAAATTGAAGCGCAGTGGCAGCATAAACCGAGTACATACATAAGTAAGTACAAAAAGCATAAGCAGTCAAAAGTTGTATGATGCTTAACACAGTTATACTTACTTAAAGTCATACGCACGTATACACAGAGCTATCACTGCATGCTTGCCTCTGTATTGTGGCACGCGGGTGCTTCTTACTGCTTTGCTATTCCCCGGGGGAATCAAGAATGTGGAAACGTGTCCATTGACGGTGTTATACCAAATGAATGAGAATGCACAATGAATGTGGCGTAATGAGTGCGTTGCATGTGGCAAGACAGAATGAAATGCGTGGAGAGGCAGACACAAGCGTTTGATTGAAGTGACTAAGGTAAAAATTGCGCCCGCGCTATGTTGCCAAATTTCAGTTGGCTGTGCAATGTTTGGGATGGTATCGTACTCATATTGGAAGGCATAGCCCTGAGTTTGTGTAGATTTCCTTGAATTGAGGGACTTTTTGATAACCTTCCTAAAAGGTCTAAACTCATATGAAGAGGGGAAAATGTTGAAATGTTTAATAAGAAGGATATAATCACTCGTAGAATAAAATAACTATAGAGAGACAGTTTCTAAATAACATTCGTCTGCCATATACAAAATTTTAAACGCAAATATTGATATCAATCAAGTCTTTCTACTCGCTCTTGTTACTTCACCCAGTAAGTATGTAGTAAATATTCTTGAATCAACATTTTCATCATACTTCTAGAACCTAGAAACGAAAAGTTTTCCTTATGTCTGTTCAAGGTTTTTAAGTTGGTAGAGAGCTCAGCTTTCTGAGGGACGCAGACAAACTCGGAGATCGACAAGAGATAAGTATGTGAAGCTTCAGTTGTTCACTATGTAAATATCTTGTGAAATATGTCACGAACCTTAATGGTAAGTAGATAAATTTGCATTTCTATCGTCGCGAACAGTCGACGAGCGAACTTCGTCATTTGCTTTGGTTGTGTGCGTTCTCAAATAATTCAACGTTCGCCGGCATTGCGTTTCAACGGTAAAGCTATCAAAACATCGGTCAAGTTAGTTTGCCTTATTTACAGGGCCTTGCACCTCTTAGATCTTAGTTGTAAGTATTCATC